TTCCTCTTGGCTCCCTCTGCTCCAGCCTCTTCCCCCCTCCTTACTTTTCCTTGAACCAACCAGGTTCATTCCCACCCCATGCCTGTGCCCAAATGCTTTTCTCCGGCTGACTGTTCGTGTTTCAGGTCATAACTGGAGCACGACCCCCTCCAGGAAGCCCTCCCTAACTAGATGGGCAAATATTCTCTGAGCGTCCTTCTCTCATAGGTACAGTTTCACATTTCCTGCCATGATTATTTGATCTGGATCTGCCTCGCCCACTAGACCCTCAAAGGCAGGAAGGACATGCCTTTGCTCACAGTGTGCCCTCGGTGTGTGGCACTCAGTATGTAAATGAATAAGAGAGGCTCCCCTCCCACCCTCCGGCCACAGTGATCTGTGTTCAGCTCTTCACAGAGCTGTTCTGGTCCTCTTTGACTCTGAGGCTCGGCACATTCTATTCATTCTGCTTGGCATATCCTTCCCTTCATTCTCGCTGGCTAAATTCTCTTCATCCTTCAGTTTAAGCTTAGATGCCACCTGTTCCAAACCATCTTTTCTCACCCCCTGCCTGCCCCGTGCTGGATCAGAAGCCTCCTCTGAGCTCCCCTGGCACCCTGACCTCTCCCCATGGCAACACAGGTCACTCTGTGCTATTTCCCCCTGGTGTGAGTATCTCCACCATCAGCCTGTCAGCACCTGTTTACCCACGGCTGAGTCTCCAGTACATAGTACTGGCGCCTGGCACATAGTAGGTGCTTAATAAACGCTTGCTGAACCAGATGCTAGCACCCTCCCAGACCACATGATCTGCCTGGGGCAGTGGGGAGGACAGCCAGAGCTGGGGACGAGGCTCCCACACAGAAAGTTCAAGACAAAATGTAGAAAGTACAGATTCGTGTTTGCATCTCACTGTCAACACTGTTGTTCAAAGAAGCCCTGCCACTTTTTCAGGACCACACAGCAGGTTAGCCTTGAACCCAGCTTCCCTGAGGGCTGAGACCCTCCCCCCCACACCGGCATATATATGCACGTGCACATGCACACACACTCACGGGAACACAGTCCCCTGCCTTCCGGAGCCACTTGGAGTCTCCCCCTAGATGGGCCCAAACCCGTCTGTTTGTTCTTTCTTGAAGATGGAAAATCATGAGTCACTGGGAGTGGGGACAGGAGGAGCTGAGGGATGGGGGGGCGGGGGCTGGTGGGGGCATGGGGCCTGCTGGGTCACCTGGGAACAGCTCCAAATCCTCTGGGCCATGGGGCCCATCTGCCCCAGATGTCTCCCAGGGCTGCTAGAGGACCAGGCTGGGAGTGTTAGTCCAGGCTTGTCGGCCAAGTAAGAAGTTAGTGGCCCCAGGAGGTCCATGGGCCAAAGTGGGAAAAATGAAAATCAAGATCCAGAGAGGAAAGCAACTCATCTGACGTCACCCTGCCTGGCCTCAAACCCAGGACTCTAGATCTGGCCTAGAGTCAGGTGGCTCCCCCTCCCATTCAAGGAAGGCCTGGGGTTTCTAGATCCTGCCTCTCAACCCTCCACCTCCTCAGACTTCTAGCCCTGAGACTCCCATCTCTGGTCCCTCTAAGGCCCCTGCTTTACCTCTCTGTGTTTGTTTTCTGTCTGTCTTATTCCCCTGCCTGCCACCCCCCTTGGTTTATATGAAAAAGGAGCAGCAGCCCTCCCTCTTTACCACCGCCCCCCCCATCTCCACCCCATCCCTTTTGATGTGGAAAAAGCATGCTGTGTTCAGTCTCCCCAAGAGGCTCTTCTCCTCCCCAGGTCACAGGGGGCAGGGTGGAGAGGGGTGGCCAGACAGACCATAGAGAAGCTCCTTTCCCCAGCGCTGTGGATAGCCCTGGTCCTCTCATACACACTCCCCAAGGTGCCCTCAGATACTCACGGTGACCACCAACCCCACAAACGTCCCAGGACATTCCAAGATCTGGAGGACCCTCGGACACCCAGCTGGGTCAGAGTGAGATCACCCTCAGTCACACACCCATGGGCACCACAAGGGGAAACACATAGGCACGTACGCAGCGATGTACGCACACCCAAACGCATCCGGTCAGCCACAGACACAGCTGGCTCTGGACACGCACAACAGGTCGGAGTACACACGGGTGCAACTGCTCAGACTCAGACACACACTCAGATACAACTGCACCTTAACGCAACCAGTCATAAACCCATAAGCAAACCCTCCAGATCCAACCCACATAAAGAGCAGCTTTTTCCTCTAAAGAACCGGCCTCAAGCCAAGCAGCAGAGACCCCCGCCCCTGGAGAAGCAAGGACCCTCCCCCACTCCCGCCAGGCCCCGCGCGCCCCTCCCCCACGCCTTGGGAGTGCCCTGCCCCCGCCCACCTACCGCCTGTAGAAGGAGGTGGGCCAGGAGCGCAGCGACTTCTCGAGCCCGGGCCGCGGGCTCCGGTCCCGCTCACTGCGGCCCGCGGACTTGTCCGGGTCCGAGTAGAAGCGCTGCTGGATGCGGATGGGGCGCCGGGGCTGACGCCACAAGTGCTTCGGGGGTCTGGCTATGCCTTGGCGGCTGCGAACGCGACTCAGCTCGCTGGATGCCTCCTCCCCTTCTTGGACCCCTGGGGTCTCCATGCGCCAGAAGAAGGAGGCAGGGAGAGCAGGGAGCAGAGAGAGCAGGGCACGGGAGCCCCGAGAACGAGGAGTATCTGCGCCCGCCCGGGTCGGGCCAGGACCGGGGGTGGAGGCGACAGCGAGCAGCTGTCCGCGCCGGAGGTGCTGAGGCGGGAGAAGGTAGAAACAGGGACTCAAGGTGGGGCTGACACCAAGGAGCTGTCCTTGCCCAGATGGTGCTGAAGGACAGCACGGAAAGAAGAACTTGGGGGTGGGGGTTGGAAACAGGGGCTGGGGATACCCCGAGAGCAGAAAATGGTTTGCTGTCCTCCCCTCTAGTGCCGAGTGAAAAAGGGTCAAGACATGAGCTTGGAGTGAAGACAGAGATTGTCCTCCCTGTTGCTGCCGAATGGAGAGCTGGGAGACAGGGGCTCTGGAGATCCCCAGCGCTAAGGCCCTGTCCCTTCTCCTGGTGCTGAAAGGGAAGGTAGATTCGGGGACTCCGGGTGGATGAGATGCGAGGAGCTAGCTGCAGGAAAGCGCAGAGACAGGGGTTCAGGAACACCTCCACACCAGGGCGTCGTCCGCCCAGGAGGTGCTGAGAGCTGAGCAGCGGCGGGTCCTCAACCCTCCCCAATGACTGTAGCAAGGAGGAGTCTGGAAGCAGAGTCAAGGGCTCTGGTCTTCAGAAGTAGGCACAGATGGTGTTTCTCTGTCAAGCTCAGGAAGGTAGGATTAGCAGTTCAGTCCTAGATGGGGTCTCCTGGGAGCCCTGAAGCCCCTACTCACACAGGGCAGGGATCCGGGAAGGGCAGAGAAATGGGGAGGGCTGTAACAGGGCCCTCCCATCCCTGGGGTGGGCACACAGAAACTGCGTCTAGTCGGGGCTGACAACAGCGGAGGTGGGTAGAGAGGGGCACGCTTTTATAGCCACACCAACGCCTAGACCCTCGGCGGAAATGGTGGGATCTCATTCGTCCCACTATGCCTTGGGCCCCACCTCACAGCCATGATTCCTGCCCTCAAATCCCAGGCCTGCCCCTCCCTTCCCCAGTTCTAGAAACTCAAGGCCCTACCCACCAGACATCCTAATCCCAGGAGTAATTTCCTGGTAAGTGGCAGAGGGAGGGTGAGAACATTTTCTATTATGGTTAACAGAAGTAGACAGGGACAAGAGCAGGGCCGGGCTGGTGGGTGCAGTCTCTGGGCTGGGGCAGGGATGCATTTGGGGCCACTCGGTGCAGTAGATTTGGGGGCAGGAAGAGCCATGATCTCAGAAGGCCATTTCAAGGATATTTCTCATGGAGACCACCCTCTACCCTAGTTGTGTCCCCAGGTTGGAGAAATGGGAAACGTTTGGGCCCGAGAGCCAAACAGACTGGGTTCAGCACAAACAACTCTTCTATGTACTTTACTTTCATGGCTCAGTCATTGCCCTTCCTCTCAGCCCCCTGCCCTCTAGAGCTGATAGTAGGAGATAACTTGGTCCATTGGCAGGGAACATGGATTCTCCCACTGGCTGGCTGTCACTCCACCCCCCGCCCCCGGCCTGTTTTCTATTCTGGAAAGTGGGGATAATGTTCGTGTCCTACATCCTGGCATTGTTGGGAGGGTGAAAAGGGATGTCACCTGCGAAGGGTCAAAGACTGGGAGCTGTCCACACCAGTCCGTCCCCCTACTCTTTTACTCCTGCTGGTGTCCACCAATGCCTGGTTTGTCTACCTCGTAAATAACTTCTGTATCTGCCTACTTCTCTCCAGCCCATGGCTCCACCTTGGTCCACGTACCACCATCTCCTGCCCAGAACTGCCCAGGCCTCTTCGCTGGGCTCTTGCTGCTTCTACCTCTGCCCTTGACAATTCTACTCAGTAGTCACAATTTTTTAAGTGCCAATCTGATCAACTCACTCACTTGAAAACCCACCCATGGCTCCCCGTTGCACACCATGAGGTCTTATGTGGCCCAGCCCCTGCCAACAGCCGCAGGCTCCCCTCCCACCCTCCAATTACACTGATCTGTGTTCAGCTCTGCGCACACCTGGTCTTCTTGAGATGTGCTTTGCACATTCTGTTCCTTCTAGCTGGCGTATGCTTCCCTGCCCTTCTGTGGCTGACTTCGCTGAATCCTTCATGCTAAACTCAGATGCCACTTCTTCCAAGTGGTCCTTTCCTCACCCCGTACCCCCCAGTGCAGGGTCAGAAACCTCCTCTGGACTCCCATAGCGCTCTGATCTCTCCAACTGGTATGAGTCTCTCTCCATCAGCAGCCTGTGAGCCCCTGTTTGCCCGTGGCTGTGTTACCGATACAGGGCCTGACACATAGTAGGTACTTGACAAATGTTTTCTGAACAGGTTAGAGAAAGGTTCAGCTAGACGAGGCATTCTGTCTCTCCTGAGACTGGCCCCCTTCATCCCCATCTGCCTCCTCACCTGCTGGGGCCTGGACTGTGGCTTTGCTCTGTTCCTCGAGCCTCGATGGTGAACACCACACGGGCACTGGGCTCACCCTCTCCAGGGGTTCCAAGGCGGCTTGACAGCGGCGGCAGCAATGGGGTCCCTGAGAATCGTCTCCGGACGAGACCACTGCCAAGCGGGCTTATGGGAGCCAAGCCAGAATCCACCGACTCTCGGACCCGCTGGGGAGACAGTGGTGAGACGTCAGCAAGTTCCCAGGCAAGGTGCCTCTCCGGGGCCCAGGGGACCGTGAGGAGAGTCTGAGATGCCCTCACCCAGATTCCTGGACTAGACCAGAGAGCTGTATCTCAGTCCTACTTTCTCCCTGAGTGAATTTACATCTCTGAGTCTCAGTTTCCTCATCCATGAAATGGGCGTGTGGATCTCAGACCCGCAGAATATGAGTGGCCCTGGCCCGCAGCGGGCGTTGCAGCAATATTTATTTATTAATCAGTTAGTACATAGTATATTTATTATTGATAACATTCTATAATATATACTGCTATTTAATATAAGAATACTCTAGTGATTTTCTATCATATTATATTTTTTATTAAAACATAAAAATAAAACATGCCGCACATGGACAAGTGAATAACAACAACAATGCCAATAGCTAACCTTTCTTGCACACTCACTGCACGTAGGTGCTGTTCTAAGGATCCCTCACGGGTTAGTTCACAAGGGCACAACAGGGCTGGTTTATAGACCATTACCCTCATTTTATTTGAAAAAAATTTTTTAGAGATTTTATTTTTTAAAATAATCTCTAGACCCAATGTGGGTCTCTAGACCCAAATTCACAACCCCGAGATCGAGATCGCATGCTGATCGCATGTGCCAGCCAGGCACCCCCTCCCCATCATCCTCATTTTACAAACAAGGAAACTGAGGCTCAGAGGTGAAGAAAATGCCCACGTTTGCTGTTGGCAAATAAATCCTGAATTTGGAGCTGTGGTGCCTCATTTCCTGAAGGAAGAACTGAACAGGGGAAATTAGACGAGAGGGTGTTGGCAAGCATGTCCTGAGGAAACACTTGAGACATTTGAAAATCAAACAGAATCAGAACGAACTGATGAATCAGCAAGGGTGAGCCTTCCAGCCCAACAGAACTGGCTTCACCCCATGCCACGTGGTGTAGGGGAAAGCATGCCTCAGTGTTCCCATCTGTGAAATGGGATGAAAGTGATACCAATCATTTGGCTGTGTTGATAATAAAAGGACAGGCCCACACGTTCCAGTCACAGTCTGAGACCTGTCAGTGGTGCTGACTCCAGGTCTTGGAATTCACAGCCTTGAGGGTGTGTGTGTGTGTGTGTGTGTGTGTGCGCGCGCGCGCGCGCACGCACTCACGCACTGGGGGATCAAAGGAGTAAATGGGATGTGGGAGAGGTGGAGCTCAGAGGGGCAGCCCAGCCTTCTCCTGCTCTGCCACTAAGCCTCACCAATTGGTCTATCTCGACAATCAGACATGCACATAGGAAAATCCAGGTCCAAGACAATATGGCACATCAGGGCCAGAGCTAGGGCAAGGGGAAGCAGGAAAGAAGGTATGAGGAACACACATCAGTTGCGCCTCTATAAGCCATGTTTCTGCAGGGCATTTCTTCACGGAGGAAGAGGAAATGACTGGCTGAGAGTCACAGAGCCAGGGGCTGCTCAGCTCCCCCCCCCCCCCCCCCCCCCCCCC